ATATATATATATATATAAACCATAAGTGTGTCTCCACCAATTTAAGATGGACGCTAATCTCCTCATTTGAGGGATAAAATATTTTAATATCTACAATTTTTTAAATAACACCATATTTTTTTATTTATAACTTTTCTAGGATTACCTTACTTCTCCTCAATAAAGAGGAAAAGTATTTATATGTTTATACAATTTTTTTCTTACATAACATCATATTTTTTACTTTTATATGATTATATTATGTTCTTTCTTTTTCTCTATTTACTCTATATCAAACTTTTAGTAAGTCAAAATAAAATTTAATGTTATATTTTTAAGTTAAACAAAAGTAAAATAAACAATTTTATGTATTTTAACTATTATTTTAGTTATACGGTTTTGATTGGTTTCTCTTGTACTTGTACCATGTTCTTGCATGCGTGTATACAAGCGTGTGTATACAAGCGTGATTACATTAGATTCTGCCAAGTATGCATTTTGTTGTATTTCATTGGATTTATTTTTACTATTGGTCTCCATGTCATTATGCATTTGGATTTGGCAGTTGTTATGTGACATATAGATAAATATTTCTCTATGGTAAAAACATTGGAAAATAAACTCAAAATTCTTGTTGAATATTAAGCTGGGGCTATGCATTCGGTGACTTAACACATTTAAATTGTTAGATTTGTAATAATAGATTAGATTGTGACACGTGTACATTTAAGTTAAAATATATTTTATACATGTGTCATAATCTAATTTATTTTTATAAATCTAACGATTAAAATAAATTAAGTTACCATAATTTTTATATATCTCGAATGGGTTGCCGTGTTTTTAGAAGCTCTTTCCTGCGATGTTATAATTGTCGGTACGGATGTATTATTTGATGTATAGTTATAATTATTGGTACGGATGTATTATTTGACGTATTATTATAATTAATGGTACGGATCATATGATGTTTTTAGTATTTATTTTTTCTCTTAAAAAAAACGCTTAGTTACCATAAAGATCGAGCGTTTATAACTTAGCTTCAATTTCTGAGCTCAGTGGAACTATCATTTGATAGTAAGTTGGTGGCATTGATAAATTTGTCGCTTTAATATTTGTTAGATTTTCATAATTTTACCTACATTTTGATAAATTAAGAAAAAATATTTATAAATTATTTTTAATTTTGATTCTCGAATATTTAAAAACCTTTTAAACATATCGAACAATACGTGAAACGTAAAAGAAAACGAAAGCAAAGAAACTAGAAGGAAAAAAAATTGAAAAGAAAAAAAGATGATTTTACAATTGTTTAATAAAACAAAAAGAAAAAAATAATATTATTTTCCTTTATTTAGTTGGGTAAAAAATAAATAAAAATAATAATAATTTACAAGAAAAACATAAGTACTCTTACATAAATTATTTCCAAACAAAATTAAAATAATAATTTAAGGGTTAATTTTATTTTTAATTTTTATAATTTTACGAATTTGCAACTTTATTCTATTTTTCTTATTACAAATTTGATCTCTAATTTTTAAAAATTAAACAATAGTCTGTCAGAAAAATGCAGTATATAATTAAACAAACAAAAAAATATTAATGTAAAATGTAAATGACACTACCGAATAAAATTTTTAAAATTATTAGCTAATGTTATTTACGCTTATACACACACGTTTGTAACCCAAAATAGAATGTCAAATTTATAAAATATATTAAAATTATGACTAATGAATCTAAAAATTTGTTTGAATAGAATAATAAATGTTTTTGAAAATTCCTGTATTAAAAAAAACTTTTTAATTTTAATTAAAAAAATATAAAAACACTTATAACTTTGGTCAGAACAGATGGTAAATGAACATATCATATGCAATAAGCAGAGAGATGAGGAAGCAAACACCTTGCTCAACTGCTGCTGCTGCTGATGAATGAAGATGCATAACATTTATGCAGTGCAACTTTTAGTCCTTCTGAAACATTAACATATCGTGATGGTTATGCATTAAAAAAAAAAGAAAAAAGAAAAAAAAAAGTGATACTGTTCAGATAGGTCCTCTGAATTTACAATTTGTAAAGGCAATGCGGAAACAAGTTAAAGAAAAGCGCCAAATGGTTGCAGAAAAAGACCCAAGCCTCTGCCTCTATATATTCGTGTCGTTTCCTTTCCGATTGCTCAACGCCCCCCAACCAAGAAGGGGACCACTTACAACGCTTCAGCATATTCCATGTTTGATTTATTTCAATTTTAATTATCACATAAATATGTTTTTAGTATTCAGAAATTTTTCAAATTTTTTATTTTTCTCCTAATTGTTTTTTATCTCCATATTTTACAAAAAGTAAAATTAATGTTTACAAGTTTTATAATGATAAAAAACAAAAATTTTACGGAAACCAAAATCAAAACTAGTGCATTTTATAGAAATTAAAAAAATATTTAAGTCTTTTATTACTTATTAGTTTAATTTTCACACTATATAATTCTATAAAATAAAAAATATATATATAATTTCCTTTCTTTTATTTTTTAAAAATATTCTTTAATCTTTAACTTTCAAATTTGGATTGATATTTTAGTTTTTTAAATAATGATTATTTTTAACTTTAGAATATAATTTTTAATTTTTTTTAATAATTTCAATATTTGAAATTTGTTCCATTAATTTCATTATATGAAAATTATGAAATTTAACTAATGTTAAAATAAAAAAAGTCATAAATATATTGAAAAATATTTGAAAAGCGTGTCCAACAAGCAATTTAAAGTTGAAAATTTTAATATTTTTTTATGATAACCGGATTATTTCTTATGTAATTTTTTTATGTTTATAATCTTTTAAATTTCATGATTTTCATATAAATAAATCTAAAAGAATTAAGTTTGATGTTTAAATCAATAAAAGAAATTAAAAAGTATATTCTAAAATTGAAAATAATAACGGTAATAGGAGGACAATATTAATTCAAATATAAAAATTAAAATTGCATAATGAATTTTATAAGAAAGTGGAGTAGTATTGAGATGATTTTTTTTTAATTTAAATTTAAATTTAAATTTATTAAATATATATTTAATTTATGTGATTAATTTTAAATGAATGAAGATTCGGATGAAAGTAAAGTAATAATATATGTGTGTTTGGTTTGAAGTTAGGCAAAAGATTGGAATATGGAGAGAGAAAGACAAAATTAGAGAGCAATGAGAAGGTGTGGTGTGATTATAGAGTAGAGAGTATTTAATTAGCATCACACAAAATAAAAGCGAAATCGAAAACATGGAGTGGAGCGCGTGGGTTATCGCCATCACTCACCACTTTTGGTTTATCCGTTGGAAATTTGGCAGCCAATGGACATTCATACATAACATGTGGCTTCGCAACTGCTATTACTATTAGCTTCCAATGGAGAGGTTTCCTTCTTCTGAACGAGAGAGCATTGTTTTAGGGTACAGAGAGAGTGAGTCGTTGATTGGGAGGTCGTCGTCGAGCAATTCGATGTTGGAGGTGGATTTCAAGGACGTGTTTGGAGGGCCTCCGCGGCGGTCATCGATGAACGAAGGGGAAAGAGGTTGGTGTAGGTGGCCTCCGGAGAGGGTGTTTGGGGAGGAGAGTGGGAATCGGAGGCGTAATGACGACTTCTTCGATGACATATTCGGAGGTGAGGAGTCAGCAAGTGTGTGTTCCACGCCAAACAACAATTTCGCTCTCTCCCGAGTCTCCAGCCCTCTGCCCTCTGCGCCTCATTCACTTCCCTCTCTCCCGCTACCCTTCAGGTTTTTCTTATCCAACTCATTAACTAATATATTAAATAAATGTTACCACTTACTTTAAGTAATTTAATACCTTTTTTTTTTAAAAAAAAAAAAAAGATTGTTGCAATGATACAATACTTGTGTTATTTATTTAAAAATATAAGTTTAATTTTTATTATGAATACAAAATTTAATTTTTAATTTTATTAGAACCCATGAACTTTTTATTCACCCATGGGTCTCTTTGATGACAGAAGAAATAGTCGGATTCCAATGCAATTAGTTGTGAAAATTATTAATAAAAAGGCCAATAATCACATGGGAATTTGGAGATATGTAAATTTAAATTTTAAAAACCGATAATATAAATACTTTTATTCTATTATCTAATTGTTGCTGTAAAAAAATTATCATCTATAATAATATGTTAATGATTATAATTTATATTTAAGGTGATTTTTTATCCTGTCTAAGATGATTTTTAATTGAGTGATAGTGAAGGATTTTTTCCACTAACATTGTATTAAAATTAAATTAAAAGAATTTTCAAAAATTTGAAAGGAGAAAGGAATATGTAAGAAATTTTTTTTTGAGACAGTAACACTTCAGAATTCCCAAAACTTTTCATAAAATTAACTCATAAATGTTTAGATTATATATAAATTTTTATTATGAAACATACAATTCGTAATTCGTATGCGCATCTACAGATGGGCATCCACCAATTGGGATTGAAAGTGATAACCTAAACCAGAAATAAAATGCTCATTTAGTGTTTAAAAACTAAATATAAACATTTAAAACAGGGGAAAAGTTGATAAATATGTTCGTTGATTGAAGGACTTTGTAAAAAAAAATACATAAAAAAGGAAATATATTTAATGTTTTAAATATATATATATATATATATATATATATATTAGAAAGATTATTATAAGAATAACTCTTAATAAAGTTACTTCACTCAATAATTTATTATATATATTAAATTTCAATAATTCAACCGTTAAATTAAATTTTTTTAATATATTTACAAATTTTCAAAAATTTAAGAATTATTTAATATTTTATTTCATTAATTTAAATTGACAAATACTCATAAAAGTATTTTATATGTTAATTTGAATTCATATAACGAAATAGCATATCGTTTTCAAATTTCTTAAAAAATTATAAATTTGATCTATATGTTAAGAATTTTTAATTTAACAGTTGGATCGTTGAAATTTAGTATATACCGTGAATTATTAAGTGGAGTAACTTTATTAAGAGCTAATCTTGGAGTAATTTGATCTTTTTCTTATATATGTGTGTGTGTCGGCTATCGAGGGTGCACACACATACATGTCTCCACATTAGGATGATATTGTCCACTTTGAATTTAAATTCTCATTATTTTATTTTTGGTTATCTTCCAAAAGGCCGCATACTAATGAAGACTATGTGTATTTTATAAACTTTTATTTTTTTTCATGATCCAATAATGTGAGACTTCTTTTGAACCCTAACAAATCTCCCCTCAAACAAAAGACCATGACTTAACCTCCCTTCAATGAAAATTTCCTTTCATCTACGAGTATTTAATGGTGACGTTTAAAACTTTAGTCACACCTATCAGTTCTAAATATTTGCAATGTGATTAGCTCACATTAGGACACCTCACCTGACCACCACATCGCTAGAAAAATTTTTGACACAAAAGATCTCACACTTGGATTCGGTGTCTCTCATTATCAAATATTTGTCCGAGTCAAGAAGACTTTCGACACAAGAGATCTCACACTTGGATCCACTGCCTCCCATTGCCAAATACTTATCCAAGACTCTGAGCTGGTCACCTGGCCGATCATTGACTCTGATACCAATGTTAGGTATTTGAGAGTTCACACACAAGTCTCCACATTAATATGATATTGTCCACTTTGGACCTAAATCTTCATGATTTTACTTTTGGTCATTTTCCAAAAGGTTTTATACCAATGAAAATTATTTGTATTTTATAAACATTTATTTCTCCTCATAATCCAATAATATAAGACTTTGTTTGAACATCAACAATATATATAACTTCTTATTTTATATTATTTTTTATTTTAATTATAAGTAATAAATTGAATCTTTATCCTAATTATAAATAACAATCAATAGTTTTAAAGATATTTAGTATTAAATTTTTTTTATACTTTTTATTTATTATTAACTCTATTTTTTATGCATTTACTTATAATTAAAATTAAATTTAATATTCACTTAAAGCAACATATATATTTGGAGTAAAATTTGAACTTATAGTAAAATTAATTAAAAATAATCATTTAATTACCTTTCTTCATCATAATGATTTATATTATATTTCTTATAATTAGGATTAATGGTTGTACTATCTATTAAGCAGTGAGTTGGGAAATTCATGATTTAATTTCTTGTTTCAAAGCAATTCATTAATGATTTGTTGGTGTTCATCTTCAATTTGCTTACTCCTACGATTTTCTAATGACCAGCCTTCCTGCCAAATTGACAAATGGAGTGGACCTTCCAACATTTGGTTCCCCCAACAACACCAGCGATGCTTCAAATGGATATGGCCTTTCAGATTCCCATCTATCCAGATTTTCACCCCATCGTAAGGAGTTGAAAAATGAGTTAAAACCTTACCGACAAAGTCTTCTATCACAAGAATTTTCGAACTCGAGCACATCTGATAAAGCAGACAAAGGAAGCATTATGAAACAAGACATATCTATTGGTGATGTTTCCCCTAATACCAGTAATAGCCAGTTCCATTTCTCAATATATAAATGGGCAAGTAAAGGGGTGCCAATGATGATGCCTCTTAGGACAGAGAGAACCTCAAGGACTAAGGATAAGGTTAAACTTGAGAGATGCTCAAGCGCTAAGGAATGGAGGGTCGGTGAGACTACCACACAAAATCCTGTAGTGTACAATGATTCCTCTTTAATGAGTAATAGAAAACAAGATGTGTCAACTACTTCCACAGCCACTGAAAATCGAGCAGATTCAAACCAGATTGTAGAACAAGTAGTTTCTGCCAAAGCTCAATCAGGTACATCGAGTATCCCTCAAACTGATACTAAAGATGTGGAAGTAGAATCAAGTAATCATTCTGGAAAAACTGAGGCAGCAAGGGAAACGCAGAAGCTTGAGTCTAAGCCATTACAATTTCTGTTCAAAGAAAGTGAAAAGAAACTAGGTGAAGCCATCTACAGCATGATTCTCTCTTTACATTGTTATATATATATGTATCTATGTTTAAACACACAAATTACTACTTACAACTTACAAGCCTGTGATACTGTCCTTCATTTCCTGTGTCAGATAATGATATGATTACTAGGGAGAGAGACGAAAACAGGATGAAAAGCACCAAAAAGTTGTCTGCTGTTTTTGATGTTACTGTGAATCCAATGAAACAAGAAGAAAAGACAGTTTTCTCGAGAGATGTAGGACATACCACTTCTCAGGGTTCATTGAGATTAGGCGAGAATATGGGGAAAGGCCTAGTTAAAGGGAAGGTCAAAGAATTCGCTCGAATTTTCAACCAAGAAGCTGTAACAAAACCCAAAGTTGACTCCAAATCTCTACCTCAGGGTTCTACTTACAAGCAGAGAGATGCTTTAAAGACAAATAATGAAGTAAGTGTTGTCACAGCATAGGAAGATGGCTAGAAGAGAAAATTCACTTTGTTAAAAGGACATGGATAGTTTGAATATGCTTTAGTGATAAATCTCGTGTACAATTCTAATTTCACAACAGTCGGGGTGTTTAAGATTTCTTTCAATTATTATCCCAGGTGGAAAGTGTTCCTGAACAATCCAAGAAGGAGAACTCTGCCATGGAGACCACCAACATCTCTGCTAATAATTTGTCTCATCAAAATGATATCTCAGCGCAAGGTACTGCTTAGTTATCCAAATCCCGATATTCCTTCAGTTGACAATTGACTTACTATGGAAGTGATTGTATTATGAATATGCTCTTCATTATTCTTAGAATGGTGACAAGAATATGGCAAACTTATAGAGATTATGTGGCCTGCATCTAACAATAGGAAAATATAATTACATAGCAAGCAGTATGCAGCATTTTATTTGCAATTCTTAAGTGGTCTTTATTATTTCCATAACGTTTTCGTCTTAATTCTGTTACATCGGTTCTCAAGATAAAAGTTTCTTTACTGTATAGTCTATACATCCAAGATGTGGATGGTTTCATCCTGATATACTGCAAGGGAAACAGTTTACACGATCAATGAATAATACGGTGCCAATTATTTGAAGCTATTCATTGCAAGTGAAAAACCTTAATTATTATACAAATGTGGCACGCACTTATTTGTTGATGGTGTAAAAGGTTTTACGCTTACACTGATCATTGATCAACTTTTAAATTCTGTATATATGATTTGGGCTGAATACTTGATGATTATATTATGTGATGGAACGAATTGATTTTGTTAGCAGCAATTCCTGATATATCATTTACTGTTATTGGAGATAAAGACGAGTCCTTCAATGGGAGTTTCATGGTATTCCATTACTCAGTTAAATAAGTTCCTTTCATAAGTATGAACTTTTTGCCTTTTTTGCGGCTTATGTTGATAAGCTCCTATATTGGGTTTTGCAGATACAAGTATTAGACGAAGATGAGGGTGAGGTCTTACAAAACCAAGAAAATCAAGAAATCCAAGTAATTTATTACTTAGTAGTTTTTGTTTGTTTCAAGGTTATAGAAGAACAAAATTATTGAGTATATTGTATATAATGTAGATGATTGACAACAAGATACGACAATGGTCTAAAGGGAAGGAAGGAAACATACGCTCCCTGCTATCGACATTACAATATGTAAGAAAAATAAAATTGTCCTTTACTCTTTGCTATTCTTATCCCACTTGATTGAAAATTTGATTTCTTCTTATAGTTTTTCACGTAAAATAAAGCATTTAATTATGACTTGAAATCATAGCTACAGGTTAGTGCTTTTAAGGTCCATCGATGGGACTAGAGAGTCTAATGATCCACCTATTTGAATGGTATATTCTTAAGAGGGAACATAGGATGCAAAATCTGATCACGTGACAATTTTGCAGTAGTAATGTACTTAATTCTGTGGGATGGTTATTTAGCAGTTATGTGTCTAATTATATAGGATAGTTCTGTAGCTGTTATGTATTGATAGTATATGATGGAAGAGTAACTTCGATTTTAGTTTTCATAAGTAATTTATTAAGGTTCTTATTTTATTTTAAATGAGGTTCATCATGTTACATCATTTTTAAATAATTCATATTGCATTTTTGTAAATTTTGTTTTAATGGTGAAATTTTATAAGCAACTCACTCTTTTATAATTTTTTTATTTACATTTCACTTTTGACAACTTAAAAATTAATATAATTATTATAATTAAGTATTAATATAATTAAACATAATAAATAATATTTTTTGATTTGTGAGAGTGGTTGGTGTTCTAAACAACGTTGTTTATTTAAGAATCATTTATTTTTAAACAATTTCTTGTATCATGTGATTACACTCTAATAGAAGTTGTTAATAAGTACGGTTATTTATTAGTAGTAAAATACACTACAAACACTCTGAATTGAGGAGATGTTCCAAGTCGTTGGGAGGCCATCATTATGGTGTGTATAAGGCAGTCCGGACAAAGTACACTCTAGGAGTTTCTCAAATCTCAATTATGCGATAACATTCCTGCTGTAGTTTCCATAAAATTCTGTGTTTAATCATAATGAACACCAATTAAACATGAATTTTAGTTGGTATTGATCATCTATGGTTAACTCTTATTAAAATGGCATTCATCATGCATAAAGGTACTTTGGCCGGAGTGTGGATGGAAGCCTGTGCCTCTTGTTGATATAATTGAAGGGAACGCCGTGAAAAGAGCATATCAAAGAGCTTTACTCTGTCTGCATCCAGATAAGTTGCAGCAAAAGGGAGCTTCTTCAGATAAAAAATATATTGCAGAAAAAGTTTTTGATATTTTACAGGTAACAACATCTTTGTGGTAACTGAATAATAACAGAACAATTTACAATCATTCTATTTCTTTCAGGATCTATGACTAGAATCTTCCTTAAAATTTGTTGCCCGCATTTCTTGTCTTAACCTTTTTTTTTATTAACTTACTGAAGTACGTTTTCTTTGGTATGAATTCACTGAAGTACTCATTTGAGCTTTTTGCTTGATGGTTGATTTCTATTTTATCCAAAAAATTCTCATATACCAAGTCTAGTAGCAGTTGGTGAGAGAATAGCACAAAACTTCAGGAAATAGGACATCTTAATAATTTCACAAGCAACAAACATGATCCTGAACATGAATTGTAATGACCAATATTTTTAAAATCAGACGGCTTATTGAGCCAGTAAAGACACTGGTTTACGATTTATTGATTGAACTGTATTGAAATGTAGATACTGGTCAATTCTTAGGAAGCTATTGAAATGTATGAAATAATTAATATGCCTTATCATTATTTTATTTTATTTTTACAAAAATTGAATTACTATGTCCATATTTTATAATACAGGAGGCATGGACTCAATTCAATATGCTCGGTGCACTCTAATTTTGTCGACATCATTTATTGAGTAAAAGCACTATTGGTGCCTTGTGGGAAGCTTCCCTCCTTAGACTTTTACTCGATCTTGTTCTTTTCAGAAGTGCAAGTGTTACTTCATATAGCTGTAGCTAATTTCACGGTAAATTGGTAATGTAAATGATTGGGTACGCAAAGATGTAATTTTATTGTATGGTATGAATACACCAGTGTTTTTTTTTTTTTCCACAAGATAGTATATATATATATATATATTGTATATATCTACTGCACAAACATACAGATAATCTTAATATGTTTGAGTAAACTTCCCCATATGTTAAGAGAGTAAAATAGGAAGAAAGAAGTAAAAAATATTTTTTTGTAAATTAAAATTAATTTATGTATAAATTATTTTGTAAAAACTTTCATTATTTTCTCTAAAATCTTATTTTTAACTTATGTGTATAATTTAGTTTGAAGTTTAACTTGTAGAGAAACTTATTTTGATTTTTCTTCCTATTCTTATTTTTATTTCAATATGAAAAATGTACTAAAAATAATCTAGCAACTGTCCAAAATCAAAGTATTTAAAATGTGTAATTTTATGTTTGAATCTTTACATGTATATACTAATCTAGTATCCTAGACATGAATATTTTATTTTTAGTCGTGATCCCATAAATCAAAACATGTTACTTATTATCATTAATAATTCAACAAATTATGCTATTATAACTATTATCTCATAAAGCAACTCATTATAATTATTATCATGTACGATCTCGAAAATTTCAACGCCTTATCTCGCCTGTTATTTGGAAGTAGTCAGCAACTGATCTAGACCTGCTCTAGCCGTGAGACATAGAATCCGTAGCTGAATCCTGACTGCTTAGAGGCTAGGTCAATAAACACATCAACTAAAAAGCTCTGATAGTACACAGACTTTCACACTCGAGTGTCAAAGACATGAATAGTCTTAATTGTTTGGCCTGTTTGGTCCACGAGAGGTCTGAATCTGAACAATACAATTTCTTTTAAAGTATCTCCAGCTCTTGTCAATATCAGTCTATTTGAGTTATTTAAATTTTACTAAAATTTCTTATACAAGTTCTGGTACTTAAAAAATAAGAAAAAATATACTGATATGACAAGAGAGTTGCTTATAAACAACTCTACTAAAGATATTCTTAAAACATTGCTACAACCACTAAAAAGAAGCCAAAATTTTGTCCGAATTATTAAAAAATTATTATCTTTTAATAAATTTATTATAAAATAATTATTTTATAATAAATTTATTAAAAAATAATAATTTTTTTAATAATTCAGATAAAATTTTGACTTCCTTTTCGGAGGATAAAGCATTTTCCTTCTAGAAATGATGGATCAACGGTCATGGGTACATCTTGTTTGCTGCTCAACTCTTCAAAGGGGGATCGTAATTGGCGACGCGTAGATCTCACTTGCGACTTTTACTCACCACATCCTATCTTAGTTATCATAACGTTTCACATTTTAATGTTTTGGACAACGAAATAATTCCAGTACCATTACAATTCACAAAAAATGCTACAGATGACAGTGAAGAATATAATGGGACTTTCACATATCAAGACTCAACAAAAAAGAAAAATGTTGTACCGATTATTTTTATAATGAAGATTCTTGCGAAATAAATTAACGTATATACACTTTTTAATTTGGATTCTTAATTTTCTTTTAGCTAGTTTTTTATGGCTACATAAGATTTAAGAGTACTCAGTAAGTATCTCCTATGATAAAACCCAACTTAAATTCTTAACTTATTAAAAGTACTCGGCAACTTATTTTATCCCTATATTTATACAAGAACCCTCATTTTATCTTGAAAAAAAAAATAGTTTATCAACTTGGGTTTTCTTACATAAGAAACTTCAGTAAAAGCTCAAAGAATTCATTTGTTATAATAGTATACTAAAATTCATTTGTAAGACAGCATAAAGAACTACATTGGAGTTGCTCTTCATAACCCTGCAAAAACATTGCAGCTTTGTCTAAATTAAATTCATGGCTGTTAAAAAAATTGCACCGTGGATGTCGGTATTTATTATTAGATGGTGTTGAGTGTTTCCCTTTAAAGGATTGTAACTGTTTGTTCGCGGCTTAGTTCCTTATCAGAACTTCGCCAAAAAAATAAAAATAAAATAAAAAAGGGGGCCCGAGCTCGTTCTACCTATTGCAAGAAACAACAAATAATAACAAGAATCGGAAATTATATTTTAGAATACCCTATATTGAAGAGGATCCTATTGATCCTACAAGTTGACCAAAATATATAGATACATTGAGCTTCTGGTCAGAAATCCGTTAATGCTAAGGTCAGATAAATACATTTTCAAATACGGATACTTGTTTCTGCACAGAATTTCCTATATTAATTTCCTTTTCTTTCCTGATAAATAATGGAACCATACAATGAATATACAGACAGACCACGAATCCGTAGAATTAGCATTGGGAAAACAAACCTGCAGGAAAACGAAACAGAAGATTCAGATCTAATGTTACATGGCCTTTCTCAAGTGAGTCAGGTCATTTATCACAATCAAAACGGGAACGAACGATAACAGTTTTTAATATTGAATTGTGAGCCTCAATGGAGTTCTCCAGCAATTAAAACATATTATTGGTCACGTTATTTACAAGAAAATTACACAAATACATTTCATAAACAATGTTAGGTGAATGTATACTATTTAGCTATTATAAACACCCCTCACTCAATCTGTCCATTCAAAAGCAGATACTAAGTTTGAAATAAAAACTCGACTGGAACTACATTTCATTTGAGACTGGGGCCATGAAATTATCATTCGTCTTTCTGATGCAAAACACTAGGCAGGCTATTATTACCATTGAGAGCGGCATGATATATTCGTTTTTCAGCTAGCCCAATATCAGAAAGTATCAAGTTACCCTGCAAACAGAACATACAATAGACACAATAAGATAAACATCAATTCCCTTTGCTACAAATGGTATAACATGGAGGAATACAATAAAAATAAAGAATGCAAATTACTAGATGCAGCTTTTGACATTCACCTAACCGCACTTGAAAGTGAAAATGAGTATGTAAGATTTAATAGTATAACCCTTTTTGCCTTGATAGATGAAAATGAAAATTAAAGGGATAAAATCAATATTATACGTAATTACCATTTAATCATTTGTATAAAATTGTGGAACAAAACATGATAGAACGAGAATGATATGCAAACCTATTTTACTACTAAGAAAAGAATTATGGTCTGAATAGTCCACTTCATATTATTTGTGATGGTATTTATAAGGATTACAATTCCCAATCATTGGCTCTCCACAAATGTCGGCAACAAAAAAAAGGAATCTACTAGCCAAACGCAAAAGCAATGATAGTGGACGACAATTCTAACAAACTCCTGCAATAGCAACTGTCAATGACACCTAAGAGGGCAGCCAAATAATTCTCTAAATGTGATTCACAGTATCTAACTATCTATTCAAAGTCGTTTAGATAATTAGGCTTCCTTGTGTTTCTCTTGGGCCGAGCATCTTGGGCTGGGGTGGCACTCAGGATTGGGTTGCTATCAAAACATCAGTGCATGAATCTCACAGAAAGTTAATGTTTCTATTTTGAAAAGAAGAGTTATCAAAGGCAGGCCAAAAATCAGTTTCAACCTAATATAAAACTCTATACTCTATAGTATTAATAAGATAAAACTTACAATCTAATTATTTTACAATATACTTTTCAAACAAAAGAAAATACCAACAATTTAATCCTTTATGTATCTTACTATCTTTTTCTCAAAATTTTAAATGCAGAATAAACTAACAAACTTTTCGAGAATGGATTGCCCGAAAAACAAGTTGTTTAAAGAATTATTGAGCAGTGTAACTAAACAGTGTCAATTTATACTCACGATTAAAAACTAACTCCGGCTATAGAATATGAATATCCTTCTTAACTATTTAATTAACCCAACAGTAGAGAAACATTGAACTTTCCCACTGATAAAACAGTATAAATACCTCAGTAGCCATCAACCTTCTAACGTTATTAGCAAATAGTTTGGGATCATCCATCTCCTGCTGTGAAGGATGATAAACAGGTAATCGAATCACCTCCATATAATTCACAAACTGACAGAGGAGAAATATCACATGGCGTACCTGTCAAGATCAATATAAACTTTACGAAATAAAAACTAAAATTGCAAAGGAAAATGACAATTTTTCCAATTTAAATTACCAATTGTTTACATCTATGTTGAAAATGCGAAGATAACATTAAAATAAAATAAAAATGATTAACAGCAGAAACAAATTGTTTTTCCTAGATGGTTAGCACAGCATCTTTTGAAGCACAAAAGCTGGTCTCCATCATAAAACGAACTACAACTTTTTACACTTTAACCAGGTGGAAAGCAAATGTTCTTGAGCTACTCTACACCCAAAAGAAAGAAATAGAAACTACAAAGCCAACTGACAAGTATAAAGAAAGTGATTGTAATAGTTCCACTAGCTTTCTCACAGTTTCAGACATGGAATCAAACTTCAATTTAGAACATTTAAGAAACAATTATTCACACCTAAGGTGCAACTCTAGGTTCAAAATATAATAGTCGCCAGAATAGAGCAGTTTAGCTATCAGCTTAAAAGATTAGCCTTTATAATCAGAATTCAGCAAAAAAAAAAAAATGAAACTTTATTACTACTGAAGTACTCACCCCAGATATGGAATCCCAAGCGGGACTAAATCTCTGGTAATGATATCTTAAAATCACAGGATGTACTGGTGCCTTTGCCAAAAAACCACCAGTCTTGAATGGAAGGAGGTACTCTCCATTTGTCGTTGTACCTTCTGTAGAATACCCAATATCATTAAGTGATTACAAGGACATTGATACACATGGACAACTTAAATACTCTTAATTACTTGATAATTAAATGATAGATACAATAAGTAAAACAGAAAACCATAAAACTTTATTGACTACAGTATGACCAATGCTAGTGCCATCATATGCAACAATTCATTCACATTCTAGCAGCAGAATAATAAACATGAAGAACTATAGAGTGATATTTGAAGACAACAAAATATGAGAGGTGAGAACACTAAGAAATGAACTTAACTAATGAATCATTATGTTGAAGAGAGACTTTTAAGAGAAAGACAGCCCGTGGATGAGAACATGGATGCAGTATTCATTTAATAAATTGGATAAAGGTAAAGAAATGTGGCAACTTTGATCATCAAATTAATTTTACAATAAATACAAATTGCAAATAGAAGCAGAAAAACCTACATCAATCATTTTATACATTATCATCCGTACAAATTACAAAATAAATTCACCTTTCTCTTAACATAGTAGAGACAAAGAGGAGGGGATGGGTAATTTTTTTTGAAAGTTCAAATAACTGCCAAGTAACCATATCTATTATATATATTGGGAACAACAGGGTATCAAACCCTACCTAAGGCATATATATTAGTGCAAATCCAATTTGAGAACAAAACCCGAATTTCACTAAAAGAATATATTTGAATTTTGATTCCACCCCCAAGATAAAAAAAAAAAAAAAAGGATAATAACCTGGAAATAACATCATTAATGGAGCAGATTTGTTCTGATGAGCTTCTCGGATTCTATCAGTGACAACAGCTGCAGGAAGAAAGATTGAATGAGATTAAAATCTAGCCATCAGTTCTAACACTTAAAATATAATTTATATTAAACACGGCATGAAAATCTTAATTTGACTAACAATTACACAAGAATATGCATAACTGGCCGATTGCTGGGGCACCTCTAGACAGTGTGACAAATACCATGAGTATATTTAGAAGCCAGAAGGGAAATTCAAACACAACAAATGAAATTAATTCAGATTGAGAAAAATGAATATTACTTAATGTTGGTCCGATGTTAGAGTTTGGAATGTTAATCAAACATGTGATGCCACCAAAACAGACTAAATGAAACTTCTACAGTAAGTCAACTTCATTAATTACAAACAACGATTCAGCACTCTTGTTTAACAGATGATATAGTTTTATAACAGATCATCTAATTTATGCCTTACAAAGTTACAATTAAACAATCAGGAGGTACACCTATTGTGTAGAAAATTTAAATTTTCAAAATGCAAAAGACCTAAAGCAAAACCCTTAAAAATATGAAGAGAAGAAACACATTAGGCACACAAGGAAGAATAAAAATCCACATTCTTTTACTTTTATTTAAATTGCACACAATTTCACAATTATTATAAAGTTTTCATACGCCAAAATATATATGCACCTGAAACACCCTTGAAGTCTGATGACTTTGATTCCCGCTGAACATATACACAACCAAGGCACTTGCTGTCACAACAAACATACCAAAATATATAAGCACTAGATTCTGAATAATACTTTATAATGGAAAGTTAATGCACATTGAATCATATGACATAGGTTTGAGAAAATAATAAAAAACAGAACACCTCAAGATTTAAAGAACTCAAATAAAGCAATGAGATTTAAATTTGCAATAATCCGTATAAATCCATTTAAGCCAACATACCTGATGAGACCAACAAGAGGAAGTTTAGCCACTGATCTCTTCATCGATGAAATCCAAGATTTGAATCAAATGTTTGGAAAAAAATGTCAGTAACAAACATGAAAAGGACACATTCATAGTCATGGAGAAGGAAAAAAAAAAGTTTGTCACATCACAAACCTTGGCAACAAAACTTGGGAATGATGATGACATGTGATACAAAATATCCAAGTATGACACATGATTAGATATTATTACTCCAGGTCTCCCCAACTCTTCAGGTTGATCCTTGTCTTCCTTCACAAATTTAAGTAGACAAAAGAAAAGAGATAGAACTAAAATCAAATTTCAAGACATAACAATTTTCATTGAGAAATATAATGAAACAAGATGCCTGAAAACTTGTTATCTAATAAATGCTAAAATACATCTCAACAGTCCTCTCAAGAATGCTTCTTATTCAGCATACTGCATACTAGCAAACCACGTACGGAAATCATTTAAAAAAAAGGAACAAAATCCTTGTTTCAGTGCTAACGACACAGAATTCACACAACCCTAACTGAAATGGGAAATACAATTCGTGAGTTAATGACATTCTATTTATACAAGCTGCTATCCAAAACTGAACGACATGCAATACTCCCTTCTTTTTTCCCAAAAAACAAATAGGAAGAAAATACCCAGCAATATCGCTTTGGAATCCATCAAAGTACAACAGCCTTGCCGTTTCAAAACCAATACATCTTTCATCACGCCAGTAAAAATTTTGCCATTTAGAATTCAGTAAACAACGAGAAACATACCACAGATAGAGTTAGCATAAGAATAATTAATTATACTTAGAACAAAACTTAAGATACACTTCCTCAAATACTTTAGGCGTTGTTCTTTTGATCAAAATTGAAGTTCCAACTGGAAAACCTGCTGACCTTCTATGTGAACATTTATTTTGCAAATTATTGAGATGAAACTTGAATAGCAGAATTCTAATAGGAAATCAATACGAAAGCAACTAAGTAACTACATCTAGGTTTTGTCCTTATAAGGTATAGCTATCCCCCTTATAGCCCCAACAAAAAAGAAAAACACTAAATGGTCTTACTCTTTTGGTTAACACTTAATAATGGCATTGAACACAGTGAGTAACGAGAAACTGAGAAAGCGAATAAGAAAAGGCAATTAAAGTGACCTGAGACTGAGAGGGGAAGTTGGACTCCGAAATCCAATAAAAGCCGAAAACGAAGAGCATGACTCTGGAGAGGGCGCGTCCACATGAAACAATAACGGTTCTCCTCCAACCACTCATGTGAGCGTAATCTTCCTGCTCCTCGTCGCGATTGGGCGAAGAGAAGAGAGTGCAAAGCCTACAAATTAAGTAATAGAGGAGCAAGACTGTGAAGGCCAGAACAACTCTTATGGGGAGAAGAGTAACCAGAGCGAAACCGAGAAGGAGCTTCTCCTTGGGCGGCAACTCGCCGCGCCCCATGGTGCCGTAGACGTCGCGGCGGACGTAGGCGGCGAACTTCTTCTCCATCTCGGCGATGGTGTCGGCGGAGGAGGAGACGGTGGAGTCGGACTTGAGCAGAGGACGGTGGTCGGTGACGGTGTGGCCGTTGGGGGGCTTGGAATTGAGGTCTTTGAGTTCGGACTCCATGGCCATGGTTGATCGGAGGAAAGTGAGATTGAGATTAATTAATTAATTAATTAGTCATTGGGGTTTGGTTTCCCTTCCTTCGTTGGGTGGATTTAGGGTTTTAGAGAGAGAGAGAGAGATAAAGGAACACGATGCTCCTTTCGCTTATGCGGATCTGATGGAAACTACTCACGCGATCTTCATCCTTGCTGGGTGCGGTTTTTTTTTCATCAACTGTGCGAGCTGTTTTTTCAAACAAAATATGATGATAACTCAATAAAAACCGGATTAGTGATATTTTTTCATGAATTATATCTTTTTAACATCCAACAGGGTATAATGTTCGGTATACTAAAAAAAAAAAAAAATTAAAGACAAAGAATAATTACATATTTATCCTCTTCATAAACTCGCCTTTATAATATATAAATTTATATATTATTAATATTTTAACGTGTGTAATACATAAATTGTTTATTATCTATAATTAAAATTTGTAATAAATTATATATAAATAAATATTATATTTAAATGTATCAATTTTATTTAAAATTTTGTTTT